TCACTAATGACTAGACATGTCAGTTGCTCCTGAGGGTCAGGGGGTTGCTGCTGCTTTGGACTGGGGAATGCTGTAGCACCGACTCCATGACCTGCTGTTGCACAGGTGCCAAAGTCAATAGTAGAACTAGAAAAAAGGTTATTTCATTTCAGGAGGGTCCAGAAGTAAGTGCAGCTCAGGGGAAACCAAAGTTCCCTGCCGTTCAGCAGAGTCAGGGGTTTGTTGCTATCCAGCATAGTCTTAAGGGTTCTAGTAGACAGAGTTTCGGGAGTACCGATCAGCTGTCTCTTGAATGCTGGATAGCTGAATCTTTGGTGGGCTGGAAAGCAATCTCACTGGAAAGCTGGCTTACTCAGACTCTGAAGATCCAGCAAATAGATAGCAGCAAACTCTGGATCTCTGGAGTCTCTGGATTGCTGAGCTGCTATGTCTATGTGACGCAGAGTAGCACTGTCTCAACGGAGGGCAGCTTTGTCTCTGTGAATGCTGGGCAGTGAGACCTCCGCAGCACTGGACAGTGGCGAAGACGAGGAGTTGATGGCAGTGATGAGAATGATGAATGCCTTTATAACAAGAGAATGGAGGATGAGGGCTGCTGCAACCTCTTTGTGATCAATCACATTCCTAAGAACGTAATCCTTTACCGCCCAGTAGCAATCCTGATGTGCTGCTATCTTCTGCAGGCTGTCAATGCAGTCTGCTGTCTTCTCTGCCCTCTCTCTCCTGTGCACAAGGGTTTGGTACTCAGTGTTGAAGGTGTTCCTGCATAATGGATATTGGCAGGCTGTATAAAATGTAAATACAAACAAAATGTGATTATGTGCAAAACATTGATACCCCATATTTAATTGAACATAACACAAAAACAACTTATTAATGTTGAAGCTTGAAAATTGTATTATTTTTTTGAAAAGTTTAAGCCCATTTTGAATTTGATGCCAGCAACACCTTTCAAAAATGTTGGACAATGACAACAAAAGACTAGAAAAGTTGTGAAATGCTACAAGCATAGACCTGGTGGAACTTCTCACAATTAACAAGTTTACTGGCATTAGGTTCTTAATTTGATTCGGTGTAAAAAGAACATTCCATAGAGGCTGGGAAGATGGGAAGAGGTTCACTGCTCTGTAAATGACTGTGCAGGCAAATATTGCTCAATGTAAAATCGCAAAGTATCTGGAGATTTCACTGTCTACAGTACATCATATAACTAAGATTCAGAGAAACAGAAGAAATCTCTGTTCTCAAAGGACAAGGCCGAAAACCAATAGGCTATTGGATGGCCGTGGGCTTCGGGACTGTATCAAAACCAGACAGGGTTCTGTAGTGGACATCACTGCATGGGCTGTGGAACACTTCCAAAAACCATTGTCTGTGAACACTGTTTGTTGCTGCATCCACAAATGCAAGCTGGAACTCTACCATGCAAAGAGGAAACTGTATAAACCAGATCCAGATATGCTGCTGCCTTCTGTGGGCCCAAGCTCATTTAAGATGGTCTGAGGCGAAGTGGAAAACTGAGGATTGTGGTCTTTCAATTCCAAATATGAAATCATGGACCTTGCGTAACAAGGAGAGGACTATCCAATTTGTTATCAGTGCCCAGTGTAAAAGGCTGCATCCGTGATGGTATAAGTCTTCATTAGTGCACATGGCATGGGTAACCTGCATATCTATAAAGGCACCATTAATGCTGAACGATATATACAGATGTTTGAGCATCATATGCAAAGTAGAAATTGTCTTTTTTAGGGACAACCTTGCTTATTTCAGCAGGATAACGCCAAACCTTATTCTGCCCGTATTACAACAGCATGGCTCCATAGTAAAAGAGTCCGGGTGCCAAACTGGCCTGCCTGCAATCCTGACTTCTCACCCATTGAAAATGTTTGGCACATTATGAAATATAAAATACGGCAAGGAGACCCCAAACTGTTGAGCAGGTGAAATTCTAGATCAGGCAAGAATGGAAAACATTCCACTTTCCACGTTACAGCAGTTTGTCTCCTCCGTTCAAAGATGCTTACCGAGTGTTGTTAAAAGACGAGGTGATGTAACAGAGTGTTAAACATGACCCTATCCCAACTTTTCAAAAAAGTGTTGCTGGCATCAAATTTGAAATAGGCATGTACTTTTCCTTAACAATAACATTTCTCAGTTTCAACATTTCCCAGAGGAAAAATCTTTTGCTCAGAAGTCTTTTCTTTAACTCTTGAGAAAACACTGAGATCTCAATAGTATATCTTTTTGAGATCACTCCAATCTGAATCGTTGCTCCTAAAACTCCTTAGGAGAAAAGGACAAGATGAAGAGAGATTGATGTTTTGAGACTTGGGTAAGACAAATGGATACTGAATTGAGAATACAATAGGATAAATGGACAGATGAGATCTCATCATTGTATCTTTTTGAGTTCATTAATGTCTTGCTTATTATTCCTAAAAAGCAGTTGGGAGCTGAGAAGATGTTTGTATTACATTACTGACTATGCTTGGAGAACCATGCTAGAGGCTTGCTCTGGGCTGGATTTGAACACCGCTCCTACTGTTCAAAGGGTGACAACACTGCCGCTGTGCCACCCAGCTAAAATTAGCAATGAAAGACTGATTGTCTTTAAATAGAGTACAATTTTCCTTTACTTAAAAGAGGAGAAAAACTATATCCACAATTAAATTTCTCAAAATTCTACACAAGTAAAAGGTATAAAAGTATTCCATAGTGAATGTACTTAAGTATCAAAAGTAAAAGTGCTTATTCTGTATGACAGATACATGTTGGATCTCAGTTCTTGTGTGGATTCGGTCTACCTTAACCAATTGGAAAACATGACATTTGAAAGTGACTTGTACAATAAATACAATAAAGATTTGAAATTAAGGGGAGTAAAAGTATAAACCCCCTTAAAAAGAAAATACTCAACCTCAACATTTGACGTAAGTAAAGTACTTGAGTAAAATAACCCCTAAGTGAGGTCACTAAGACAACACTGAGAAATATCTTGGAGCTTTTTCTCTGATCCACATTCTGGAGATTGAAATTACACTTATTTAAGATAATGTAGAGATCTCATCAGTTGATCAGAGTAAGACAGAGGTGAGTTTTCTGCTCCTGAAGCCAATATGAGAAAACTGAGACATATTTGAGAAGAATCATGAGATCCCAGGAGTCATAGCTGAGTTTTGTTTGAACTCTTTCTCTGATCTCATGGTCCAGTGTTCAGGAGACTTAAATTAGACTTATTTAAGATCAGTTAGAGATCTCTTGTTTTGATCAGAGTCAGACATAAATGAGATTTGATATGGTTGTGTCTCCTGAGATGAATTTGAGAAGTGGGAGAAAAGGCCTTTGGTCTCACTTTGGTATTAAAAGCAGCTCATTTGTGTCTAGGAGAAAAGAAGGAAACAACTTGGGTTGATAAGTCTTTTTGCTATTTTCAATTAGATATGGGGTTTCAGTGTTTTGGGGCGGCACGGTGGTCTGGTGGATGTGGCCTCACAGCAAGAAGGTTGCGGGTTCAAACCCTGGCCTTTCTGTGTGGAGTTCCGGCTTCCTCCCACCGTCCAAAGACATGCGGCCTAGGTTGATTGGTGACCCTAAATTTTCCTTAGGTGTGAGTGTGACTGGTTGTTTGTCTATGTGTGGCCCTGCGATGGACTGGCGACCTGTCCATGGTGTACCCCGCCCTTCACCTGATGTCAACTGGGATTGGCTCCAGCCCCTCCCGCTAGCCTGTGCACAGGATAAGCGGTTGACGATGGATGGATAGATGGACAGCAACTTTTTTGGAAAGAGGGTTGTACTTTGCTTCCATAGAAAAAAGGTATTTGGTCTCTTGCACTAAAGAGCTTCTTTTTCAATTCCCTTGCCCTGGTCTTGATGACTTTCCAGGCTGGTTCTTCGTGTTTCCAACTCTGAAACTTTGTAAGAAGTTTAGTTTTGTCCTTGACATGATGATGATCCACCAATGTAGAAGCCTTTAATGCTTGTAAATGATCCAAGTTACCTATGAATTTTTTATAACAGTTTCTGATGAAGCTAGTTGTCAATGTCAATGGTATCTAGTCACAAATATCCTTTATAAGGTAGTGAGAAGTGACTGCTTGCTTTGCACCCCCTGCATTTTACGCTATGGTGCATTGTGGAGCTGTATTATTAAGGAAACATTTGCAGATAATTCATCTGTATTGGCACTTAGCATTTAAGTACTCAGATCAGGATTGGTATTAAAAAGACATGACTTGGAAATCCTGTGTGTTGGAAATCTGCACACACAGGATCGTGTACATCTGTCACAACAGATTGTGCTGTTATCTCTTAAGCAATCGGTAAACAACATCCAGTAAACAAAAGAAATTTGTAACACAGCAGCACCAGTCCATCCGTTCTTCTTGCCACGAGACTGGAACAGAATGGAATTTGAAACGTTTTAGCCAAAAATGTTTCCATGGTCAAGGTGTTTTTTGCAGAAACGTTTCAGATTTCGTTCCGTTCTCCGGCTTCAACCAAATCAAGGGAGTTTGCGTCAATTGATACACAGGTAAGTGAAACACGTAAATCAAACACTGGGAGGCTTTAAGATGAAGGTGGACAGTAGCCAACTGTGAGTCATTGAACGAGTGTAGCTCTGCTGAGCCACAGCTATGTCACTGGTCCCATGCTCAATGTTTTGAACAGTCTAATTCTGGGTAGTCTATCTCAGCTGCATCGTACAGCTGTACACCTTGCTAACCGTGGCTATGCTTCGTGTAAATGAATGTCCAGGATGGAAATGTACTGGTCAGATTCACAATGGATTCCCCCCATATTAACTGAGCCTGTTCAGGATAAGTTACACTGACATATTCTCTTAATGTTACTTTTGTATGCCTTCAAATCTTGGTGTAATTGTAATGAGCCTTTTACTGTTTTGGTCCTCTTGCTCTGCACAGCCAAGTTGAGATGAGGTAATATTGAGTGTTTGCAATGAGCTTTGATGGATTGTTTGTCTCTGTGTCATCCAGGCAGTGTGGCGAGTGTAGATAAACCCCCCCTTATGAGGTGAAAACCCTTCCCCGTCCTGCAGTATTCCATCCCGGCAGCAACAGCAGCAATAAGGGATGTCACGGCTGTTCCTCCTTTTGTCAATGCTCATTCTCTACTGCAACATCCAGGTGGGTCCCGAGCGAGCACACACACACACACACACACACACACACACACACACACACACACACACACACACATTCAAATAGGCACATAAACATACCCCCCCCCCAATATATCCCCATTTTTGAGATGGCTTGTTTACAGCTACTGTATATATGAAGTGACCTATAACAAGTTTTCTAGTTAATGCACCAATTTTGGCTCCATGTTTTGTGTGAAGCCCACATTCGGACCATTGTTTTTGCCCGCCTGCATACACTACATCACAGATCTTCCTAGGGTACATATTTGTTGCATTTTGCTCTTATGTGCTCCACTATTACCGTAGGTGTCTCCGGCTGCTACTCTGGATAAGCTAAAGGAGAGTTGGAAATTGTACATGGAGGAGTGTGATCGAAACAATAGCCGGGATCCACCAAGCACTGGTGAGTGGAACATATTTTGACTCATTTTCAGTGTTCAAATCCGCAAATTTTTTTGGCCACCTGGGGGCAGCGGAAACAAGCCACAAACACACTGGCGTATTATCACCTTCTTGATTCCAGTTGATATAGTCCCTTGTTACCATTACACATACAGCAGATATGGAGCAACATAAAGCATTGTGGAGTGGTGTTTAAGGCCATCTGATGCCAGGGCGATACACAATCAGTAACTGCCCACTTCAACCCCAACAGTTCCAGTTTCATGGTACTGTAATTTCCCACGTTACACTCTGATGGCTGAAGTCCATGACTTGCATAGACCACTGACTGCTGCTGCCCCTCACTCTCAACAACACTGCCCCCAAGCCTTGGTGGCTTACATCAATCTCCAAAAGAAAGGCTTGCCAGAGTCTGTGTACCCCAACACCAGGACAGAAATTAACTTCTGGTTCAGTGAAACACCTGTTCCATACCAGGGCAAGTACTCATGTGAGCCACTGTTAAAATAAGATTGTTGATTTTATCTTTAACTACACAAAACTTGTAGGCATCAGGGTCACATTATTATCCAGAGAAACAACAAAGCACAACATTATAATAAACTAGTTATAATAAGCTTTATGTGCTCCAACAATATTTCCCATAAGGTAAATGTGAAAGATGCATTTCATATAATTTGCATTCACATTACAGAGAAAATCAGTATTTTGTAGTGCAGTGTAAAAAATGTAATGTAGTAGAGCAGGTAATGGTTAGGTCGCACCGTCACCAGACTATGGAGCGGTAGCAATTTCCACTCCCGTATAATCACTCTGCTTGCAGCCGCTCCCAGTTTTTTATTTGCTGCACCGCATACTCAGCTTTCTGCTCACGCTGAGAGAAAACGAGGTCCATCAACAGAGTGTTTAACTACAGGGCGAATGCAGCCCTTCAGTTGCATTACAGTCTGTTGTGTGAATAGAGACGGAGAACACTGACGATCTCAAAAAGGCCGCTTCCCTGCACACTGCACACAAAATCATACCACTCCGCATCACTCATATACCCTTCCTGTCACCCCATGAGAGCAAGAGCAAATTAGCAGGTGTAGAGGAGAAAGGACAGACCACTTTATTCACCTGGACATCCACCTGTGTACCATAAAAGCCAGCACAGTTTACAGAAGATGAAAGGTCTGGTATAAGCAGAAGGCCATCGATGGAGGACTTCGAATTCATATATTGAAGTCAAGCTGAAAGACCATGATGTGTATAGATGCCATAATGGCCACCAGTGGCCATCACATCAAAGACATGTTACTGTATTCTATGACTTAGACCAATCCAGGCCATAGATAGATTTTATGGCCATAGATAGATTTTATGGCCTGGAATTTTTACACACTATATCTAAAATCTCATATTTCATATTTTTTATTCCCAGGCCTTGTGTGCAACAGGACTTTTGACAATTATGCCTGTTGGCCTGATGGACTCCCCAACACAACTGTCAGTGTGTCGTGTCCGTGGTATCTGCCATGGTACCATAAAGGTAAGAGACATCTGGGTTAGCAGATGGACACTGTGTGGCAGTCATGTTGATGCAGAGTAAATCACAGAGTGTGTGCATGTCTGTGTGTGTGTGTGTGTGTAGTTCAGCACGGCATGTTGTATCAGGAATGTGATGCAAACGGCCAGTGGGTGACTACGAACAATACCAGCGAGTGCGACTCTAATGATCCAAGTCTGGTAAGAAATATCTCTCTTGTGATTCTTTCTGTAAAACTTAAGACTTAGAGAGAAAACAAAGAAGAAAATAGTAATATTTTGCTTGCATTAACAAATTTAAAGGGCACATATTAGATACAATGTCACTATTAAAACTAAAACAAACAATTGACCTGTCACATATCACACTCTCAAATAAAGCAAGCAAATCTAAAGGCCACGTGTTTGCATGTGTTTTCATTTGCAGGAGTACTATGGCCATATTCAGATCATGTATACAGTCGGCTATTCCTTATCACTGGTGGCTTTGGTGTTGGCGCTTGGCATCCTCATATTCTTCAGGTAACAATTATTTTCAGTTGAAATTGTGGTAAGCTAAGCTAACCAGCTACTGGCTGTAGCTTCATATTTACCGTACAGATTTAAGAGTGGCATCAATTTCCTCATCTAACTTGCAGTAAGAAATTGAATAACCACATTTCCCAAAGTCTCAAACCATTTCTTTAAATATAAAACTGGCTAGCAAATGCAGAATGATCACAGTGAAAAACCATTGCTGTCTCTCATTCATCAGGAAACTGCACTGCATGAGGAACAACATCCACATGAATCTGTTTGCCTCCTTCATCCTGCGAGCGCTGTCCATCCTCATCAAAGACGCTCTGTTGGAGGCCAACATCACATCGCAGGACCTTAGCAGAGACCAGGAGCAGGGATTCCCCCAGGCATCAATGCCTCCAGTGGAACTGCTGGTCAACAATGAGGTCTGTGGTGATCTGAATAGTCACAAATGAGACTTCCAGTGCACAGTAGATCATATGCAGAGGATAACAATCCTGTTCAAATGTTTTTCATCATACTAAATGTTGTCTCTGCTGTAAAGTCATTTCCTCCTTCACTTTCTTCTGTGTCTTAACAAAAAGTAAAAGGTGTAAAAGGTTAAAGGTCATAGTTGGCATTCAGCCTTTTTGTTATAATACCATACATTTTGAAATACTTAATTTTGCTTTATTGCATTTAGTGTTTTGGTGGATATTGAAAATGATTACTTAAATTTGATTACACTGTCTTAAATACTTCATGCTTTGTCTTTTTTTTTAGCTGTTAATGACGAAATGAGGTCTACTAAACCTTAACTATATTTTGAGATATTAGGGGGAGAGTTTTGAAATTTTAAAAGCTGAAATGTAATGGTTAACCTTCCTCCCAAATGAAGGATTTTTTTTACAGTCCCAAAGAATTTGCAACAGTGGCAAACAAGAAACCACTCACAGCTGCACAATCCTGCCAACTGGTGTCTTATAATAATCTTAATATTAAAAATATTTGATCTGCAACTAGACAAGGGTCTGCATCAAATTACTCAATATCATGCTGATTATCTGATGCAGCCATTCTGTTTGTATACCCTATAAATAATGTACATAATAAAACACAAAACTACCCATATGAAAGGCGGTACAAACAATATGAGCGGAATATGTGCTGCTATAATTATGGTTTGTATAAAAGTACAGTAACTCTGTAAATAAATTGGCAGAAGTAGTTGTATGTGTAGAAAGTACTAATGGTAATCATGTGAAGGGGGTAATGACAGCTACAAAGATAATTATAGCAGGTAATTATCCATAAAAGGGGTGAGGGTCAACAATATGGGTTGATGAAGAGCGCTTGTGTTTGTGTGCTGTGTTAGGTTCACAGCTGGATGAGACTAGGGGTTGAAGTTGCTGCTGTTGTGCAATCTCACGGCTGTCTGTGCAAAGCCTGATTCAGAAGGTGCTCCCATCAGCTGCAGCACTGATTTCACACCGCTCGCAACTAAACAATGTTTAACATTAGAGGGCTTGATATTTAAAAAAATAAATAAATAAAACCCCACTGCTGTCGTTTTGCAGACAACAGTTAGCTGTCGCATCGCGGTGGTGATGATGCAGTACAGCATCATGGCCAACAGCTACTGGCTGCTGGTGGAAGGCATCTACCTCCACAACCTCCTGGTCATCACAGTGTTTACAGAGAGGAACTACTTCAAAATCTACCTGTGCATCGGCTGGGGTGAGCTGGTCTGTCGGGTGTCTGTGTTTGTGTGTGTCTACAAGTTAGGGGATGCAAGGTAATTATGTGCGGTATGATGTGGTGCATGAAAGGAAATTAAATCAGAGCAAATATAAAAGGCTATTAAACTGGTGTATGAAATGATTGTTTTGCATTTAGACAGCTTTCATTTCTTTACAGGTACCCCGTTAATATTCCTTGTGCCATGGGTTGTAGCTAAATACCTATATGAAAATCAAGAGTAAGTTCCCACTGTGTTCTCCCTCTCTCTCTCTTTCTGTATTTCCCTCACTAGTTGCAATCAGACTGAGACAAACATTTTAGTTCATTCATATTGATTCCACACTCAGAACAGCACCTCATATGAGAAAAAAAGTTGGCAGATGGTCTTTCTACAAAACATGTGTGTGTTGATACTCAGCAGCTCACGGTCAGTCACGCGAGGAGCTGGCTGCAATTAAACATTTCACACAGACACATTTTATCTTCTGCAGGATGCCAAATATGGAAAGAGGTCAGAATAGCAGTCATGTTGGCATGTTTTCAATATTTCATGCTAAAATTCAGCACCCAAACTTTATTATGCAATCTGTTAGGGTCGAGCATACACACATCAGGAGCAAACAGGGGTGAAAGGGTTTTTAAGGCAGGACTTTATAAACCACCGACACATTGTATGGTTATGTAATTCATTAAAAACCCATGATGGGCCATCAGTCTCCCACATTTCATCAGCCAGGGAGAGGAAAGCTTTCTGCTGTTGCAGGAGTTGCAAAGCAGTGTAATGAAATGTGTTGAGTGAAATGAGTGAATGTTGTTTGAAAGCATGTGAGGTATTTTTGGTTGTCTCTAACTGGTCTTTCTTTCAATTCTTCTTCTTCTTTTCAGATGCTGGGGCCAAAATATAAACATGAATTACTGGTGGATCATCCGTTCCCCGATACTACTGGCAGTTGTGGTAATTTAGCCTTTCACCATGTTATGTTGCTGTCTCCTAATTTTTTTGACTATTACATTCCCTCCCTTCCCATGCTGTGACCAGGGCCTTTATTGTAGGTGTTCTCTACAAAGGTCAGTTCTGAGCTTTTACAAAAGTCAGATTTGTCATGGCTCTTATGTCACGCCAGTTACACAGACTTCCAGGTGTTTTCCATGCATTAATCCTGTCCTGCTAAGTGGACTGTATCCCACAGGAATTCCTGTGTTTGAGTTGTCACAGGGACGGGCGCGCTGGCTCCGATTTCAGTGCTTCCCCTTTATCCTGATAAAGAAATGCTCAAGTTCAGAAGTCTAAAACTACAGTCGGTAGAAAACACGTGTGTGTGTGTGTGTGTGTGTGTGTCACATTTTTGCGTGGGCTTGACTACCCACGCAAGAATGTAATTTTGCTTTTGAGATAATTCATCAAACATCAAAGTTTATGTAAATATGTAATAACACACATGTATATAGATGCTGTACAGAATCCACAGTGTGCTTTTAATTTTGCTAGAGGTTATATCTGGGGTTTAGTCACCTTGCAGTTGTACTGTACTCATATATTATTTTCCCATTATACATAATTTATTATGACCTTTATATACATTCCTTTATATACTAATAAATTCATCAAAGTGGTACATACATACTGGTCTGATGTTGGGTTGAAATTATATTTATTGTTTGTGCTTTATTACCATGTTCTTTGGCTTGTAACTTTTGCTTCATTTCAGCAAATTTACCTACCTGCAAAAATTGCCTTGTATGTATAATAACCAGTTAATTCCTGGACAATAACTGCATGTACAAATTAGGTCCAGCTTCACATTCTTCTTCCAAAAAGCTGCAAATTAACAACATAGTTGTAATCAAAAAGGTCACATCATAAGTGATTTTCATCCGATGGACACCCACCGTTTTGTGAAATACCAGCTGCTGTGAAAGGGTTCCCCTATAACAATGTGCTTCTGCTGTGTGTGTGTGTGTGTGTGTGTGTGTGTGTGTGTGTTTGTGTGTGTGTAATAATGTTAAAGGGGCGGTTCACTCAAATCACAAAAAAACATGTTTTGTACTTAAAAGTACAAAGTAGAAAGGTAGAAAGGTTTGGAGGCTTGAAGTGGGTTGATTATGCTGTGTTTCTGGAAAGCCACATTGCTGTAGAGTTTATCAAATGTAATTTTTCAATTTCATACACCTCCATTGTTTTGGGGTGGCAAGTGAAGTTTCAGCTGGGCAGCGTCTCAAAACCTTGCACATAATACCAAAATATTTACATGACAGCACATCACTGTGTGTAGGTGAGAAAATATGACCCTTCAAGATCTGTTTGTTATGCAGTCCAAACCATCAACCGGTGTCTCTGTCTTTCACAGATCAACTTCCTTATCTTTATCCATATTATCAAAATTCTTGTGTCAAAACTTCGAGCGCACCAAATGAGATACACAGATTACAAATTCAGGTGAGATCAAACGTTGAAGCAGATTTTCACTTAACATAATTATTCTCTCTACTTATTCTGTGCTTTCTGCCTCTTTGTCTCTCATCCCCTCCATCTCAGGTTGGCTAAGTCGACTCTAACCCTGATCCCTCTGCTGGGTATCCATCAGGTGGTCTTTATCTTTGTGACAGACGAGTCCACCAAGGCCACTATCGGTCTACGGCTTGCCAAGCTCTTCATCGACCTCTTCTTTTCCTCCTTCCAGGTTGGACTCGCTTGAGCCAAAGCATCTATTATTTCTTTCACAAACAAAGGGTAGGGTAGGGAGATAAAGAGGTAAGACATGCCTAAATTGGAAAAAAACAGAATGTTTAAAGCATGGTCTTTGTTCACATGTTTGAGTCAATCTTAACTTAAAAAGATAAAGTAGAAGTGAGAATTACATTTATCTCCTAATCAAATCCATATCTCAAATTCATGCTGTACTAAATTAACAGCAAAACACAGAGGTAGTTCTTTCATCTTGTCAAAGTGCCATTCCAGGAGGGATTACATTAACGAAATGTGCTGTCTGCCCTGGTAACTGGCTGTGTCACACTGTGACTTAATGATGGTGACCTTTTTTCTACGGGGACAAAGATGTCAAGATAACAGGCATCCACCAGGGGACTTGCCTCGATTAAGAGAGTGATAGAGAGAGGTTGCACTAAGATTCCCAATGTCAAAGACCACAAGTGCGGCCATAAGACTTTCAGTTTAAGACAGAAGAAACTCTAATGGGCATGTGATGTGCACTGAGTGGTTTAGTCTTAGGGCAAAAAACTGCACCATTTAACTAAAAAGGTTCACGTGGCATCTGAGTCGTGTTTTCTAATCTGTAAACAATGGCTTGTCAAAATAATGTGTGAGTTAACATTGTAGCTGTGATGAGTCAATTTAGGGGACTGACTCAATATTGGTTGTCTCTGTCTCCACAGGGTCTCTTGGTGGCCATCTTGTACTGCTTTGTCAACAAAGAAGTGAGTCTCCTCAACACTTAGGTCAATCCCAGACTTTTCTCCCCTCATCACATAAAAAACATCTACTAGCTTCTCCATCCTCTCCTCAGGTGCAGTCTGAGATCCTGAAGAAGTGGAAGCGCTGGAAGCTAGGGCGGAACATCGAGGAGGAATACCGCCACACCTACAGCAATACCCCCAACACCAAGACAGCCAGCCTGATGAACCATGTGTCTCGACTGTCTCATCTCCCAGACATCACCAAAAACTCTGCCCCGGTCAGCAGCCCTGAGGAGAGGCATATGCTTGTGGCTGGATGCCACAATGGTATGGTCCACAGTAAGGAGGCAGGCCAGTGTGCATCTCCACGGCACGAGGGAACCATCAGCAACTGTACCCTAGTGGAGGACATCAGCCTTACTGACAAGGCGCAGGGTTATGAGGGTCAGAGGGAGAGTCACCTGTAAAAGCCACTGGTAACAAGAACTTCATGAAGAACGTTGGAAGGTCTTGAGCCCTCATCTGGCTCTGAAATACTGCCCTGGGTGTCTGTGAAGAGCAGTCGTTGCCCAGAGATCAGTGACACTGGGAGACTGAGCGGCATTTAGCCCTCTCCACAGGCTGAGAATGGAGAATAATACAGCACATCCACGCTGAGATGTTTAATCTGCTGTGAGCCTTGTGAATGGATTTCTGTTGATGTTTGTCAGACATTGTGAAAGAAAATTCTGCATGTTGAAAAATGTGACAACAGCATCAAAGCAGACAAGCCATGTAAAAAAAAACCCTCAAATAGCATCAACGGAAGCAAAACAAGAGAAACAACAACAGCAACAACAAAAGACACAGGATCCTTGCTTGGTCCTTGCTTTAATTTGTGCTGTGTGTCTGTGTGTATTTTGTGGTAGCCTACTTGAGGTTAAAGACAAAATGGACATTGAACTGCATACACAAAGAAGACCAAACAAGTTGACAGGGAACAGAGGAAAATTCTTCTCTTTTTTTTTGCATTGCTCTGATTTCTGTAAATGGTTTCTTGTCTATACTGACTTTGATCAAAATGTACAGAAAAAAAAGACTGTTGACTGTACCTCTTACCCCATTGGAAATTGGCAGCTGCTCTCGCCAGGTCAGTCCTGGCTTACATATAGGCATTAAAACATGTCAAGAGATGGGATGGGATGAGTTATGAATAAGCTAATAGTATCATCGCTTGACTTACTTCAGGAGTCAGATCAGTCTCAATATTAATGAATGCAAACAGAAGGATTCACAAATGTATTTCATGTTTTATATATTAATGACTCTACAAAAACATTTTTCAGTGCACACAAAAATATGTATTGTTGTATATATATAAATGTAAAATAAATCCACACATAAGAAAACCGTTGAACCTGCATTTACAACCTGCTTCACTTCTTTTTTTGTGTGGTTTGTTGAGATTGCCCTGCCGTGGCTCGATTCAAAAATGGATTTTGTTCCTTTCACTTGCCTTTGTGAATCGACAGATCCACAGTTTGTAAATGCTGGTTCAGCAGTTTATATATAAATGCATCAACGCCCAAATATGTTATGATTAAAATTGCAAATACTTTTAAATCCATGTCCAATCCATGTATTTTTGGACTTCATTTATATTTATTTAAAACAAGAAGTTTTTGTGTGTGCATCAGCAATACATTTGTTAACCTCATATGTACATTATATTTGTTAATTTGTTTTACATTTATATATAATGAGAAATATTTTTTAAGAAATTCATTTACATATATATATATCCCAAAATACATCTGTGTGCATTCATTAATATTATGACTGATCCGACTCCATAGTTGAGGGCTACAGCTGTGCCAGGTGTGTTTTCAAGGGGAATAGTTGCAATTCTGTGCCATTAAATATGTTTTCTTTTCCCTTAGCCATCTAGATGTTGTCTTACTCATGCCTTGGCATACTTTCTAAACTTTGACACAGTAGTGCACTCGGAGATTTAAGCTGATAGGGGAACTCAGAAATCACTCAAATCAAGGACAGAAATACACAAAGTATGACTCCAACACTGTGACTCTAAAGAACATGTCATCTCTGGTTACAAGGGTGTTTTTGCGATGTTAAATATAGGCTGCCATGCATGTATATGGCGCAGATTTAGTGAGCTTAAGTAAGAAGATGGGTGAATCATTCGCCGAGGATGCGTGCTGTACAATGGCATCACATCAGTATCTCCACTGTGCAAAGGGCAAAAAGTCAGAAAGCATGTGCTAATGACTGCATGCACCCAGTTACTCTACATACGTGTTTATTATTCAGCCTTATCCTGTGTCTGCAGGGGCTGTGGACACTAAGAACAAAACTCGCCCTTAAAGTAGAACAAAACCTCTCCAGTAAGCATTCTAGTCTATTGCAGTGGTACATTTGCTTCTGAATACATTGCATTTATTTTTTAAGAAGGGATGCCTCCTGCACAGCATTCATTCAGTTGCTAAACATTTTCCCAGAATGAACTCAACTTGACCTAGTATGTATGACTATTTGCACAATGTTAATTTATAATTGGTAAATACTGTATGTATCTATGTGTTTATACAGGTGATTTATTTGATTGCTCTCAATATATTTCATGGCATGTCTGTGTGAGTGTGTAAAAGTATATTTTCAGGTTTGTATGAATGTGTGTAGTTTTAGTATTCCATATTTGTGGATTTTTTAAAGTAGGATGAATAATTGTCAACCATAAATGCGATGGGTTGATATAAACCAGTGCAGAAGTGAGAGGTCATGAGTAAGTCCCACTACAGCATATACAATATCGCACCACATGACATTCCCAGAAGTCACGCCTATATAAGGCATAAGGAAGACACAGCACTGTATTTTATTGTGAGAGCTCCTCAGTGTGATTTTGTAGTTCAGAGCTAAATTAGAGCCCACCAGCGACATGTTTGTCGTTTAGATAATAGCTCTATACATTTACTCTTCAGCCAGGTGCTGGTGTTTTCGGTATAAAGAAATTGCAGGCTGAGGCTATTTTTCATCAGCGTCTGCTGAGGACTGCAATAGAGCAGGTACATATCCAATACTGAGAATTAAGCATAACACACACACTGGCACTGCTGTTGCTCAGAGGTGAATTTGCAGTGTTTTTCTTGTTTTGCAGAGCAGGAAAAATGTTTGTATACTGACATAGTAACAGAAGACTGTCGTGCACTTTGAGTAAAGTAGTATTCAGAAGAGTATATTACTATGGTCAAAGTTTATTGCTAATTTTATTTCAAGTAATACCTGTATTTTAAACTGTGACCATACCCATGTATGTTTTTTCAAGTCAGCAGCTTGGGTCACTCCACTTTCTGGACCAACGTGGTTCTGTCTGAATGTATTCTTAAAAAGGCCCAAATCACTATGTTCCTTTTATTTTCTCTTAAAGGTGGTTATGTACAGTACATTGGCTGTGGGGGAGCTAATGAGTAAAAATTGACTGTGTTCAGGTGTACACAGTTCATCATATATTGTGTCTGCTTATCAAACTTTGTCCAAATAATGAAAGAATAAATTACCATGTATGTCAAAGAAGATTTTAACTGTGTTTTTTGTATTGATGAACAGTCATAATGTTAAAATAATCGACAGTTTTAGCTTGTTGGTGATGTAGGCTGCAGTGGCTAGCAGGCCGTCCTTCTGGCTAGCTGAATGCCAGGTTAGCTTAAAGAGGTGAGTATTGATTCTAGCCAGGGATTAGGTCCTATTTGACAGCACACACTGTTTCTTACTTTGGTCATAAGTGTCGTAAGTCATTGTGTAGGTCAGCACTCACTGACTTCTTAAAACCATTCAGTTTCAACTTACCTCGTTTAAGATGCCAGTATACTCCATCAGAACTGCTTGTCATAAGCTGGAAACCCCCTCCCCACACACCTTTCCAACGTCAGAATTAAGAGGCCTGTGTCCGACTATTTTTTAACTTTATGAAACCACCAATCTGATATAGACACTGACCTCACGCCGTGATTGCTCAGGCATGTGGAGGTGAGAAAGGAGCTAGGGTTTCCTACATATGACGGCAGGTTTTTCACCCTGCCTTGGCCATTGCGAAAATATAAACACGTCATACAAACTAGTTCTACAGTGGTTTCACTCTTACTTGAAAGATAGAACCTTTTCTGTTAACACTGGTAACATTTCCTCTTCTTCAGCAGCAATTAAATGCGGAGTACCTCAAGGTTCAATCCTGGGGCCAATCTTATTTTCTTTGAATATGCTCCCCTTGGGCTCCATTCGCCGTAAACATAATATACTGTATTATACCACTGCTATGCTGATGATACACAGCTGTACGTACCTCTGAAGCAAGGTGATTCAAAGTCCTTACAGTCCATTTCCAACTGTCTAAATGATATTAAGCATTGGATGGCAATAAACTTCCTCCAACTAAATGAAAACAACACAGAAGTAATATTATTTGGTTCCCCTAACTCAATTGAGGAATTATCAAAAAATCTGGGCCCCCTGTCCATTAATGTACAACCCTTTGCTAGGAATTTAGGGGTTATCTTTCTTTTTTCATTTAAGGACCATAGCTAAACTCTCTCTGTTTTCTCACTTTTAAGTCTCTGCTTAAGTCTTTTTAGGGGCACCTGCACTCGTGTTTTTATTTATCTATTTTGTATCTAACTGTGTTGTATTTCTGTCTTATTGCTGTATGTCATTAATTGTTTGGCCTGTTTTAATTTATCTGGTTTTAATTTTTATGTCTTTTATTGTATAACTTGTCCAGCACTTCGCTCAATTCTGGTTGTTTTTAAATGTGCTTTATAAATAAACTTGACTACTTATGGTGGATGTTGTTAGCAAAGCATCATGTGTAAAAGCTGAGAAATCCAAATGACAGACAATTCCTGGATGTTTCAGCAATTTCTAAGAAAATGATAAATAAAAGTTCACAAAAAGCTCCCTAAAATTTTGAAGCAATGTTTTTGCCATTTTTCTGCTCAAGGTTAGAAAGAAAGAAATGCAGACAGGAGCTCATAGTGTTGGTTAAAGGTTCAGTGTGTAAGTTTTAGTGGCATCTAGTGGTGAGGTTTTTGAATTGCAACCAACGCCTCTGTCACCATTCACCTTTCCCTTTGCAAGTGGGTAGGAGAAACTACACGCTCTGTTGACTCTTGTGCTAAATAAGACGTGTGCTCCTCCAGTTGTCCAAATTCTTTTCTTACTTCTAACAAACCAGACAACTACTAATACTTCTTTTTCTTCTTCTTCTTCTCTTTCAATGTAGCGATGAAATGTGGTCTGTAAAGCAGTTTGTCCATTTGGGCTACTGTAGAAACATGGTGGCCAAGATGGCGACGTCCATGTAAGTGGAGCCACGGTGCATCTTGATAGAAATGTCTCATTCTAAGGTAATAAAAACATATCTCCACTTGGGCATATCCTGCGATCACTTGGCCTCCATTATCACTTTTATGCTGACTATACCCAAATCTACATTCATTCTAAATCTGGTAAAGACATTGATGCTTGTTATCTTTCTGGTTGTATTTCTGAGATAAAAGCATGGATGAACAATATCTTATTTCTGTGCCTGAACAGTGGGAAAACTGAGGTTATGCTTATAGGTTCCTGTCATCAAATTTGCAAAGCGGCTCCACTGTCCACTGTTTGTTGATGGCTCCGTTCTAGAGACCGAAAGTAAGATGAGGAACCTTGGTGTAATTTTTGACACCAGCCTTATTTTTGATTTTTTTGTTCAGAGCACTGTGAAGGCATCCTTTTTTCACATCAGAAATATAGCCAGACTACGCCCAATGCTAAATTTATTCGTTTCTGAAAAGTTGATTAATTAATTTGTTGTCACACAGCTGGATTACTGTAACACCGTTTTAGCCAAAGTTTATAAAACCACAATTAACAAACTGCAACTCTGCCGTGACCATATTACTCCTGTTCTGAAGTCCTTACACTGGCTCCCGGTCAGGTTCCGGGTCAATTTCAAGATCATGATGTTGACATACAAGGTACTACATGGCTTGGCTCCGCAATACTTCTGGTTTATTAATCCCTTATACCCCAAATCGCAGACTGCGCTCCTCATAGTGTAATCTGTTAACTGTCTCACTAACGTACCTCAAATCTATGGGTGAATCTATGGCTTTTTCTGTTTATGCTCCTTCACTTTGGAACTCTTTTCTTCCTGAACTCAGGGAAGCCCAGACTCTAGGCATTTTTAAAGCTCTTCTCAAGACACACTTTTTAAAACTTGCATTCTACTGCTGATGTCTTTTTATGATTGTTTTAAAGTTATTTTTATCATTAATGTTGTTGTTTTTTGTTCTTATTAACTTTTATTTGTTGTATTTTTCTGTGGACTGTGATTTTATATTCAGTGCTTTGAGAAGCTGCTTTTAAAGGCGCCCTATAAAATAATGTTTATTATTATTATTATAACTGTTCATTATTTAAAGTCTTTATACACCACTGAAAACATAGTTATGTATATATATTGCATTTCTGTCAATTGATCCTCCTAAATATTACACACTGGACCTTTAAGGCATTGGAATTGCTGGTCACGTGATGCCCAGTTACCCAAAAAACCTTTTTTCATGTATAATCATTACAAAATAAATAGCTGTAAAATGAAGAATAAAATTTCCTTAATTTCCACTTTCTAAAATTGACTTTTTGTATCATCACAATTTTAACTGTTAGGTCCACGAAGTGCCATATCAGTAAATCCAAGGCAGAAATGACATCAATGGACATGCTATATGGGCCCAAAAATCCCTACTCTCACACTCTGACCCTGTTGAGTCATCACAACCTGTTAAAGATTCTCACTTTCAAAAGGCTTTGACAACAAACAAATAAACAAAATATATCCCTAGAATATTTTCTGGAGTCCTGACATGACCTCGTTTGCCTTAACATCGAATTATGTACAGAATGTTGTTTAGCATGATCAGCTTCCTTTAAGACCACAAGGGCGTATTTCAACATGGAATAATTTAACGTCCTTGGGGTATAAGAAGATGGGAAATAGTGGGAAAAGCATTTTTTCTGCACTCCATAATGCACAAGGAGTAAATATATTGAGGGAAAGGTCAGTTGATGTGTTTATGGTTTCTCTCTGAGGCCTGTGAACTGGGCTTGTGTCCTGATGTGAACAAATAGCTCTCTGCCAGGCCTGTATGCTGCTATCATCAGTTCCCAGGGATCCTTAGCATGGCACAGCTGGAGAGGTATAGTGCACCGAAGGTGAATTAAAATTTAACATCTACATATCTCACCAAATCACAAAGCTATTTAAGTTATGTCTCAATACCTTGCATACATGTACACAGAACAAAATTATAAACACTTTTGTTTTTGCCCCCATTCATCATGAGCTGAACTCAAAGATCTAAGACACTCTTTATGTACACAAAAGTCCTATAACATGTACTTTGGACCATATCAAATTATTACATCACAATGGATATATCTACAGTATATTATTTATTCATGGATGTAATATTAATGCATTCATATTCTTCTTCATGTCCAGATGGATAAAAACAAGCGTTAGTTCTTAGTTATGATATTGCCTAGAGAACCAAACGCAAGACAGAACATAGCCCTGAGGTACTCCATATTTCACATCAGTGAAAAATAATGATGTAATGTTAATATAACAAACACACTGTATTCTTCCAAAATTTTTAACCATACGAGAGCCAAGTCAGAGACCTACAGTACTTTTCAAGACAATCTAGGAGTACTGATCACTGGTATCAAAAGCCGCACTGAGGTCCAGTAATAGACATAAGATAAAAGTATTTTAATGACAAGAAAAGGTGTAGCCAGGGAATAGGAGAGAGAGCGTGGCTGGCGATGGCAGGGGGCAGGCAGGCAGACGAGAGGAGATGATGATGGATGAATGAAAATGGTCTGAGTTGAAGCTGAGTTGAGTGGTGGAGGGCTGGCAGGAGACACTGGTACCGAAGCTCTGGAGCACAGAGGAAAAAAAACATTAGGAAAAAGCAAAAATAGTTTTACAATCTATATGTTGACGATGGATGGATGGATGGATGGATGGATGGATGGATGGATGGATGGATGGATGGATGGATGGACGTAGTCTACATGATTTCCAAAACGTAAGACGAATTGTGAAACAGAGTTGGAAATTGCCATTTTGTGAGGCAGGAACACCAACAGCAGGGGTGCTATTTTATTTTTTATTTTATGTATTTGGAGAGTGGTTAATATGACCTTTATGTTGTAAAATATATATTTTTGGTTGCTGTGCTCTTTCTCTCTTTGCGTATCGTTATCTCCCTCTCTAATTCTCTCTATACGTGTCTCTGTTTGTCCACAAGAGCAGGAAATGAATGATGAAGAAGAACTTAACACTCAACATGAAGAACAACAAAGAAAGTAAAAAGAATACTTTTGGCTGTTTGAAAACAATCACAGAAAACTATTAAATACATTGGTGCTTATCTATACTGCTCTTAGCTATTGATCACTGTAAACACTACAGAGTCATCAATTACCAGCCTCTTTTATTGTTGTATAAATCCCCTCTCCAGGCAGC